GTCAGAATTTTAAGGGCCATATATATATATTTGAGAGATTGCCTGCACTGTAAAAAATGTTCACCCCTTTCCACTTAAAAACGTAAGTTTTGTGGCTGCCTTAAAATTTTAAGTTTATAACAAAGAGTGAAAAATTTAAGGGGGTCTGAATACTTTCCGTACCCAATGTATACAACAAGGGCACAAAAGTAGCAAAAAAATGCCAAGAAATTGTCATGCAAAGCTGAAAATACACTCATACCTCACGGGAAAAAACCACTGAGAAAAGCTTGAAAAAAAACCACACATACATGTCCATTACAGTCCTTTTTTTTCTTGAACATTTAAAAGGAGAAAGGTGTCCTGCAGTGCACCATCGTAGTCTTTGTATTAGGAGGCCAGCTTGCATGCCCTTCTTGTGTGTATGATGAGGTGGCAACAGACAAAACAAAAACTGTGTAAATACACATACAATGTTATACAGGGTTTGTTCAACCAAAAATGAAAATTCTGTCATCAATTACTCACCCTCATATAATTTCAAACCCATAAGACCTTTGTTCATCTTCAGAACACAAATGAGGATATTTTTGATGAAATTCGAGAGCTTTCTGTTCCCCCATAGGCAGCAACGCAACTAAAACATTCAAGGTCCAGAATGGTAGAAAGACATCATTAAAGTAATCCATGTGACTCCTGTGGTTTAACCTCAATTTTATGAAGCAATGCACGTGCTTTAGTTTGTGCAAAAAACTAATTTTACTGCTTTATTTTCTAAAAATATTGATCTGCCACACACGCTCATAAGAGCATCATGACGCATGTATGTTGTGTTCACACTAGAGTTAACACTGTAGCATGAACAAGCTTTGAATAATATTTATATTAAATTCATGTACAAATTTGACTCCTGCGCATGAATCCATGTTCAGAGATTTGGCCGGTTAGTGCCAATAAGCTACAACTTAAAATGTTAAGTTCACTGAACTAAATTGGCTCTTTGAATTTCAGCATCATTAAACAGACTTAAAAAATCAAGTTGAATCTAGTATAACTTATAAAATAAAGTTGAAATTGCTTAAATTATTTTTATGAGTTAAAGTAACTTAAAAACATAAGTTGTCATGGCTTTTTCATCATATAATTTTTTACAGTGTGAGTGAGATGGACTTCCAGTTTTCAAGTGGACCTGCGTCTGTCCGTTTTTAAGCTGCTCTTTTAAAAGGATGAAGAATGATGAATAATAAACCACAGCCAATCATCTGAGAAGTGAGAGAGAGAGAGACAAAGAGAGTGAGAGGAAAGGAGTGTCTAAAAGCGAGTTTAGCGAGGCATTTAGTGACTGTTTTCACTCTTAGTTTGGCACAGGCAGTTGGCCACAGTCGAGTGCTTTCCTGACAGACATCAGAGCTGTTAATTCTCTACATGAAACATGAAGGCCTGCCCTGACTCTTCATCACCTCAGAGATGAGACAAGGACCTCTCTTACTGCGGTTTTGACAATGTACTATAGAGCCTGCCTAGGGAGGCGATGGGCCTTTTGTGGCACATTTAGTGAAATTAAAGGGAGCGGCAGAATCAGCATGCAAACTGATAGATTCTGGATTACAAGAGGAAGCGGTAGTTTTGGTGTCTTCTTCAAAGTCTGATAAAGTTATTTGGGAATAAAACATTACATGTCTAGAAGTAGACTATTTAGGACTACTTTTAACCTAGTTATCCAATATGTGTGACGGATGAGAGCCAGATCATTGGTTGTCCCCAGGAATAAAATGTTCAGATCAGAGCTAAATGCCATTGCTTTGGTAGTTCTCCAATTTGCGGAAATTTGGACAGATTTACAGTTTGGGCACTGGGCAGAGCAACAATGACAATTTTGCATTAATTCAAGCTGGAAAATTATCAGCTTAATGCGTTTCCCACCCAAGAACTGAAGGGACTGGAATTCATTCTGGCTCCTGGTTTTGCTGCCCATCCTATCGGGAGACAATTACCAGTGCGCTTCAAAAGCCAGCTTTGGGCAAGATTAGCTCCACTTCTGGGAAGGTGATGAAAGCAAATGTCTTGCTGCTGGGTCTGCTCTGCCCTGGGTCTGTGTGGCAGAAGTGAGAGAGAGGGTGGAATGCCTTTGGCCCTCATCATCTTTCAGGTCCAACCCGTCGGCTTTCATGGCAGGCTGTGAAAAAAAAGAAGAAGCTGTTCTTCAGATCTGGCCACGCAGTACAGATGTCCTCCTCCATGTCACAGCGGCTGGCGGATTTCACTAACGAGGCTAACGAGGGGACGCCTCCAGGCCAGACAGGCTCCCTCGTGTTTGCATGGCAAATTTAGCAGAGATTTAATCCGTCCTGGGGTGCTGTGGCTCTAGGCTGAGTGTGACTAGAAAGATCTTTTATATTGGGCTTAACATCCACTATACTGAGAATTTCTGCTGTAAAATGAGAACTATATCCATTATATATTTTAGCCTGAAATTCCGGGTCTCCCTGTGCCACACATAAAATTTCATGTGTCATAGATTTAAAGCTGAAGAGTATAATAAAAAATCTACTATCTTAATTTAAGAGTAAGAGTAAGCCATTTGTTTAGTGGTGCTATTAAAACATTGCTCCGTTTGTTTCAGCATCCAATATATCCAATATGTCTCAGTATTGGCTCAGCCAGTGGAGAGTTTGTGGCAAGATTGTTTGAAAAGTGACCATTATTTTTGCAATTCGGTTCGGTGAAGCCAGTGGTGCAGAAATTCCACACTTCAGATTTAAGTCCTAAATAGATTTCAACAGTTTGCCTCTCTATTCATTTAATGGAAACGAAAACGTGACCTGTGAGATATAAAAACAACAGTGTCCTTCATGCCCCTTTTGAATGTTTCAACTTTTCCAACTTTCCCAACAGCTAAAGCACATGTTAGCATTCTTAAAGGTGCGCTATAGGTCTTTTTTTTTGTTCATCTTGCTGGTCCTTGGTCTAGTGATGTGCATTACAGAAGCAAAGGTTTTCAATTACCAATGTTAATGTAGAAATTTGCAGTCACCTGTGATTAATTTATGACATAAGGAAAGTGTCCAATAACAGGGGAATACTAAGAAAACTAATAGTATTTAGCTGGTCACGTGACCTCAGTCACATCACTGTTCCATATACAAAAACAACTTGTATTCAGTTGCTCATACAACTCATGTTAGTGTATATGATTTTAAACATATATAAAAAAAATACTGTTATTGCGTTTAATTGTAAAACTTTTAATGAGCAAAAATGAGTGCACATTTAAAGTTGTGATGTAATGGAAGTAGCGACATATCTTTTTTCCGTGTTGCGAAGTACATCACAGTGAAATGGATTTTTGAAAAATAAAAATAAGTGTATGACAGAGACTTGCTCTTCGTTGTTGATTGGATGGAGGCAGATCTGAATGTGAGCTTGCAGTCCATTGTAAGAAAGCAGTGGGATTTCTAGTATACGTCACCAGAGGGAAGTCTCTATCCTTTCACCAGAAGATTAAGTTATTATATATATATATATATAAAAAAAAGACAAGTTCAAAAACAGTAAATTGTGATATGTATGCATGGATGAATAATTCATAATAAGATTAAAAGCATGCATTTAGAAAATGTAAATTTTCATGTCATTCCGACTTTAATAATTGTACTGAAAAGGCGTCTGTCTGTATTTTCTGAAAGAGTGTACAGCACTGTTCTCCAACTATTTAAATAAATATGCCTTCCAATATTTTCAGGAATCAGTTTTCCAGAAGATTCAAAGATGTACAAAAGTTGTATTTGCTATGTTAGATCGCTGCTCTTAAGAGACATTAACTGCTTAGAGGAATCTAAGAGAGGTATTATGGACAGTTTTGAGGTCAGCAGGTCACATATTTGGGTACTATAATGATGACAACTCCCAGTAGAAGTGTGTGGTACTTTGTGAAACAAATCAGACCCTATTAGAGAGAGATATTTCATCCAGAGTCTTCCTAGTTTTAATGAAGTTATGAGAAAAGATGCTGTGGAGAAAAATCCTTGGTGGAGCTGGAAGCACTTGATTGATTTATAAATAATGCACTCGCTGAGAGCCTCTGTTTTTTGTGGTCTTTTTTTTTTTTTTTCATATCACTATACAGTACCTTTTCTAAAGGACAACTAATCATTGAACTCATAAGGAGACATTAAAGATCACATGAGCGGATGTTATATCTGCAAACACACCTTCATGCCCTTCACATTACCCAAATGTGACTGTTCCGTGTCTCCTTAATTACTCCAAATATAATCACGCTGTAAACACCATATCACAATGAGGTTTTAATCACAATGTAACAGGTTATTAGACTCTAATGAGGGAGCTTAATTGTTCATGTTTTGGGGCATCTGCTTGGTCAAACCTGCATCATCCTTTCTGTTTAAAAATAGTTTTGGGGTCTCACTAGATTCATCTCCATTTTGAAAGCAACATGTTTGATTTGACTGTCCTTCAGTGAAAGTCAAGTCAAGGCAGCAGATGTTGCCTTTGCAATAATTCATGATTATCTTCAATCATTTTCTTTAACGAGCTTTTTGTTCCCATGGTGATGGAGAGAACGAGTCTTGCTGTAATTCAACGGGGGAGACAGCTGTCTATAAAAACAAAGCATCATGAAAGATTCACGTGTGTTGTTATAACACAGGAAGAAAGTCAACAGTACGTGTTTTGTGAGGGATCAGTGAGGCGGGAAGGATCTTGTAGAGTTGCATGGCTGCACTGCAGCACTGCTAAAAAAACACTTATCTTCAAAAAGTTTCAGAACTCTAGCCATTTAGAAGAGATCGAACTGAGGTAACTTTGATCAAATGTATGACATGTATGTAAGACATTATGCTTAAAATCAGCAGAGGCTAATAGCAACACTACTAGAACTGGCACTATATTACAAAAAGGACAAAATGATATGTGATATGACCATTCTTATTTTAAAAAATTAGCTTGTCATACACTATAACCAATTTTCCTTCATCAAAATATTTTCTTCTTGTCTTTAGAGGGACCATACTTTGAAGCCATAGTTGGAGGTAAGTGCAACAGCTCACAGACTTTCACATACTGTATCTATCATGCCTTAATCTCAGCTACAAATGTAAAACTGTGCATCTTTTGACCCAAGTCAATATTTCTACCTAATTTGACCCTTTAAAAATTACTGTTGTCAAGGCTGCATTTCCCGAGAGCATTGTAAAGCCTAGGTAGATCGTAGAGACCATTGGTGTCAATGATTTCTGTGATCTACTTAAGCTTACGATGGGCGTTTAGGTCTAGGCACAGCTGTTTTTGAGCCAGTCACCTGACCTGTAAATGTCATGTGACTAATTACTCTGGAGGCAGAGAAAAATTATGTTATAGATGGCAAAACAGGAACACGGACAGGCCAAAACCTTTCACTAACAGCTATTCTAAACAGTGATATAAAGGCATCAGGCAGAGGAATATATCCATTTTCATTTCCAAATATCCAGTCCATTTGACACTTTCAAGAGCTTTCCGGAACAAAACTGGGCACTGGTAAAATATCTTCTATAAGATAATGACATATTAGCAATATGTTACTTGTACAAAATGTTACTTATTCAAAGTGCATGTCTGTCAGTGGTGAAAGATGCTTTTTGCCTCCAGAGTGTGTAGTTAGCACTTTGATGATGGTCAGATAGGCTTAAAAGATTTCTGTACAAATGAGAGGTAATTTGTGCACAAGATGTTTCCTGGCCTCAGAAGATCTCTGGCTGAGCAAAAAAAAAAAAAAAAAAGTACCAGTACCACAGTGGTCTCACTTTAGCTCATTTACACATGAATAATCAGTGTGTGGGTTTGTTCTCATGCACTGAAGTAACTGGAATCAGTAAACTTCAGCAGGGTTCGAATGACACATGCCCTCAAAACCGTTTTCAGGCAACTGGTCTGGCATATCAGGAGAAATTTTGTGTATTTCATTGAGCATATTAGTTTGTTAGTGTGATATACTGTAGTTCTCTACAGACAGGTCACTCTGAAGATTAACTTTCAGTGGTTAAGTCTGTCTCTATTTTCATTAGCTAAATTTACACCTGAATCTAACATTCTGTTATCGCATCTCCCTGTCCTCTTGCTTTCATATAGATGTTAAACATGGTTTTCTGTTAAATTCCCACTTGAATATAGCTAAAGATAAGTTGGGTCGAGAATAAAACTACGACAAGTAGTTATAGACCAAGGCATAGACTAATTAATCCGCAAATATTTGAATATTTTAACATAATTGGCTAACCGGTCAAATGCAGCGACTGATAAACAGAAGTGGCCTTTTTCTATCCCATTAGGTTTTATTAATATTTTGACTTTGTTTGAATTACTTTTATTTTTTTATATTTTCTATTTGTTAAAGAGGTCATATGACGTTGCTAAAAAGAACATTATTTGGTGTATTTGGTGTAATGCAATGTGTTTATGCGGTTTAAGGTCCAAAAAACCTTATTTTCCACATACTGTACATTATTGTTTCTCCTCTATGCCCCGCCTTTCTATGCCCCGCCTTTCTGAAACGCGTCGATTTTTACAAAGCTCATCGGTCTAAAAAGCGAGGTGTGCTCTGATTGGCCAGCTATCCAGTGCGTTGTGATTGGCCGAATTCCTCAAGCGTGTCACGGAAATGTTATGCCCCTACCATACTGTGCGAGAGCTTGTAACACTCCAAAGAGAAAGGAAAAATTTTAATTGCATCATATGACCCCTTTAAAGTTTTAGTAATTTTGTTGTTTGTTTTTTTTAACATGTCTATATAGGTTTTTTTTATTCATTTTATTTCAGTTTTAGTTATAGTTATTTGAACATTTAAGTTTTTTTTCCTTTTTTTTTCTTTTTTTATGGTTTTAGCGAACTAATAAAAAACAATTTAAATTATTTCAAAATTTTTTGTACATTTTATGTAAAATGTGAACATCTTATTTGCTGAAAAAATACAATCATGAATTTGTATTATATAATAATTATTATGACCATCAACCACCTTCAGATATTGGTATCGGCATCATCTTTTGAATCAGAAATATGTTCCAGATTTAGTACAAGTTAAGCTCAATCAACAACTTTTGTGGCATGTTGTTGACTAATACAAAACAATCTTTTTTTTTTTTATCTTTAATTTTATAATGGGAACATTTTTTGTGCTAACAAACCCAGCAAAATCCATTTTAAAACCCTTATCTGTATCAACCACTGACAAAAACCCATACAGCCAGTAATGCTCCATTGAACTCAAAACAGTGTAGTCTGTTTATTTCAGGACACTCAGTCTCACCTAATAGCTGCATCCCACAGGCTATCTTCTATTATAACCTCTCTTTCTCTGTGTCTGTGTGTTCCAGTTGTCATTGCTGTGGTGGTTCTGGTCCTGCTCCTCCTCCTGGCCGTCATTCTGCGATACATGTACAAGCACAAGGGCACATATCATACCAATGAAGCCAAGGGCACAGAGTTCGCAGAGACAGCAGACGCTGCTCTGCGTGGAGACCCTGCCCTGCAGGACGCCATGGACGAGAGCAAGAAAGAGTATTTCATATGAGACACAATAGCTGGCCCTTTATACACGTCATATAATAAACTCCTACAGGCTCACATGATGCCTCAATCCTGTTTGCTGGAGCAGTGAAGTAACTGACTGAGCTCCCCGCAAACAGAAACTAACAAGAAGAGTATTCAGAAATTCCTCTATATTTTAATATCTGAGATCGTTTATATTTATTTGTTCCTGAAAAAAGAGATAAAATTGAGTATACATGAAAGAATATGCTGCACTCCTTGTAAAGCTGAGTGTCTGAACAAACATCAGCTCAGGAGAATGAGATGATATTCAGTTGAAGGGAAGGAAAGTCTTTGATCTTATTAGACAGGATATGAATGTGAATGACAGGTGATATTTCAGGACATTTAAATATACAATTTAAAGAACACTGTAAAACAAAAACAAGAATGTGAAATTAATTGGTCTCATATCTATATTCTGTATACTGTATATGACATAAGAATCAGGAATCAGATTCTTCTTTCTTAAGAAAGAAGTTAAATTCGAAGAAGTTTGTTCATTTTCTTAAGAGCATCTTATTTTTTAAAGATAAAATAGCTCTGGTTTTGTCTGAATGCAGTTCTTGCTAAAGACTCGCTGATCAACTCAATGTAAAACACCTCAAAAGCATCTTTTTGCTCTGCCTGAAAATTACCGTAATGATCGTAATAAACATGTACACTATTTTCTTCCTGACTGGTTTTACAGGAGTTCAGTACTCAGTGTCACATTTTTAATGCGCCATGTATTTTAAATAGTTACTGAGACTGTCTAAAAAATTGCACTCCATCTTTCTTGCACTAGAACATATAACTCATTCAGCAAGAACATTCACATATTGAAACAGGAAGGGAAATAATCCAATAGGAAAAACAGTGGGAGAAAAGCCATTGGGTTATTAGAGGCAGAAATATGTCTTATCCTTATTATTTACATACACTCTCAGAAAAAAAGGTAAAAAAGCTGTCCCTGGGGTGGTACCTTTTTAAAAGGTACACCTTATACCTAAAGGGTGCATATTAATAGCTTAAAGGCACATATTAGTACCTTTTGAAGGGGTACCACCCCAGTGACGGCTTTTGTGCCTTTATTTTTGAGATTGTAGGTGTTAACCATGTGCATTGTTCTGTTTTTATACTGTGGTAATTCTAAATAGAACTGTTTTCTTCTGCTTGTGAAAAAAAAAAGATTTTTGTAAGAATATCTATAATCTAACTGTTAGACTGAACTAATGAAATATTGCTTGTAATTAGAAGCAAAGTTAGTCAGTGGAGTAAATAAATGAGAAAAATATATGCTTCAGATGCCTTCACTTTTTTAAATTTCATATATGTTAACGCTTTAGCTACAAATAAAATGAATTATATTGCTTGTTCTAGTTGCCTTTTTTCAGTTTCCCAATTTTATCGAAGGAAGGAAGGAAAGGGTACACTCAAAAATAAAAAAGTGTCATCATTTACTCGCCTTTGTGTCTGTCCAAGCTTGTATGACTTTCTTATTTATAGCATATTTTCTAAGCTGCTCCTTGCCATAAATTAAAAGTAAACAGTGACCATAGCTGTCAAACAAGATTTTCAGTGAATAATAGTTCAATTTAGGTCTGTTCCACACATAGTGTTGTCAAATGGCTCAGAAGACTTGGAATAAAGTGTGTGAGTCATATACTTTTATGAGGCTTTTATGGTGCTGTTTTTGCTCAAATCTTCTTTTGTTTTCCACAGGAAAAAAAACATAGTCATTCAGGTTTGGAATGAAGTGAGGGTGAGAAAATGATGACAGAAGTTTCATTTTTGCATGAACTATTTCTTTTAAGCTTACAGCAACTAGCAGTAAAGAGAGTTCCTGCTGTGCTCAGTTTAGTGATTTTTGGATCAAACAACTAGGCTTCGGGCCAATGATAGTTTCAGTTCCTCTTCATGGGGGAGTAATTAGTACAGGTGTTGCGTTATTCACTCCTGGGAAACCAAATAAAATACTGAAATATTATTTCATGCAAACAGTTTGTGTGGCAGGGGGACATGGAGTGCTATAAATATGATTTGAGTTGATGTGTACCATGATAAATCATTTTTCAACGAGATCTCTTCTGGAAGATTTTTACCAAAAAATGTACACATTATTCAAAGGCCAGTACAGATGCTGATGCAACAAAATGAAAATGCCAGACACTTTGGAGGTGAGCTACACCGTGAGAATCCGACACGAGTGAGAGATATCTTTCTTTTGATTAATTCTTTGCTTCAAGGATGGAGGCTGAAAATAAGCCCTGAGCACCAAATCTCATCTCACCTTCTCACCCCCCTCTTCCTACATCCAGCGCTCTTGATTAATGACACCTCACCACTAAAGGTTTCTGCTGGGTTTTTTTTTTTTTAACAACTGAAAGGACAGTTTTGTGTAATAGCTAGACTTCCTTTCATCACTTATATTTTGATAATCAACACTGACACCTCTATGATTAATCATCCACAAACAGGAGTGAAATGTGCATGAGGACACAATTATCACCTCCCACAATGCTCCAACACAAATGTTTGTTTCCTACAGTCACATCACTTCATTATTTCTTAATGTTTCTGAAAACATTTTAAACTTTAAACATGTTCCCAGAGTTTTGACATCAGTGGCCTGTGAGGATAAAAGAAGTGGAAATATGCTTTCAAAAAAACAGGCTAGAAGAAAAAGAACTTTTTTCTTTTTTTATTGTCTATTTCACAGCACAACAGAAAGCCAGATGTGATCTGGCAAACTTGAAACTTCATGTGCTTTAATGGAATAGTTCACCCCAAAATGAAAATTTGCTAAAAATGTACTCGGCACCCTCAGCCCATCCAAGATGTAGATGAGTTTGTTTCTTCACTGGAACAGATTTGGAGAAATTTAGCATTACATCACTTGCTCACCAATGGATCCTCTACAAGTAAATGGGTGCCGTTAGAACAAGAGTCCAAACAGCTGATAAACACAATCCACATGACTCCAATCCATCAGTTAATGTCTTGTAAAGAGAAAAGCTGCATATTCATAAGAAACAAATCCATCATTAAGACTTTTTTAACTTTGACTGTCACTTCTGGTCAAAATACCTTAACAGTCAATAATCCATAATAATGCTTCCTCCAGTGAAAAAGTCCATCCTCTGTTGTCCTCTCACATCAAAATCTACTGACACATTTGTTTAGAACTGTTTTTGCTTGTATATGTACTTGATATTTCTCTCCTGATTCAGACAAGATGCCTTTTTCACTAGAGAAAGTAATATTATGGTATAGGACTCTGACTATTTTACCCAGAAGCAATGGCTTTTCACTTCACAATATGTTAATTGATGTACTGGAGTCATTGGATACACTGCAGAGGATCCATTGGTGAGCAAGTGATGTAATGCTAAATTTCTCCAAATCTGATCTGATGAAGAAACAAACTAATCTACATCTTGGATGACCTGGGTACATTTCTAGCAAATTTTCATTTTGAGGTTAACTGTTCCTTTAATATACACCTGGCTGTCATTTTCTAGTGAACTACCTGCCCTGAAAGGTTAGAGCAGCAATGCTCTGTGTAGCTGTATTTTAAGGGTGCATTTCTCCTCAAGATTAGATTCAAAAGCCTGTAACATTAACATAGCATATTTTAGACAAGACAGAAATTATCTTTTGCAGTGAGCAGTATGTCAATACTGCAGCTTTTTTCAGTTGTGCGGAAGTCTAACAGACTTGAAATAAGACATGGATTTGTCAACAATACAATACAAAACTGAACGGAAAATTGAAACTACATCAAATGAACACATAGAAGCCATCAGCACATCAGTTTTCCACTTTTCAAGCAGAACGCTCTTCTGTGACATTTCTGATGATTGAGTATTCAGAATCTCTCTTCACATAAAGTACAGTAGCTCTTGCCAAGCACAAATTGCTTTTGTAACATTTTGATTTTACTAAAATAACACTAGAGGGGAATAAAGTCGCAAGACTGTCCCCAACTGAGTTTAAAGCTTGACAGGCTGTTTAATTCACAAGTGCTGAATATCAAAGCAACAGCTTCAATGCAGAGGCTTTTGCTATTATCAGCTGCTTTCCCAGCTCGTCTTTTTCAAGAGTTTGTCTTTTTTTTTTTTTTTACCACAAGGGCACTTATACTACTGTTCAAAAGTTTGGAGTCAGTAAGGAGCATAAATGATCAAAAGTGACAGTAAAAACATTTATAATGTAACAAAAATATTTCTATTTCAAATAAAATGCTGTTCTTTTGTTCTTTATATTCATATTTGTGCAGAAAGTAATATTATGGTATAGGACTCTGACTATTTTACCCAGAAGCAATGGCTTTTCACTTCACAATATGTTAATTGATGGACTGGAGTCATTGGCAAATCAGCATATTAGAATGATTTCTGAAGAATCATGAGACACTGAAGACTGTAATGATGGCTGCTGAAAATTCAGCTTTACCATCACAGAAATACATTACATTTTAAAATATATTACAATAGAAATTAGTTATTTAAAATTGTAACAATATTTCACAATATTGATGTTTTACTGTATTTTCGATGCAGCCTTGGTAAGCAAGCGACTTTTCTCAACAACAAAATTGCTTAAATCTTACCGACCCCAAACTTTTGAACGGTAGACTAAAAATGTTTATTTTAATATTTTCGATTATTTGAGATGCTATTGAAATCATACAAAAAAATAGTTTTTTGAGAACTGTCTGATTGCATATGTATTATGAATGGTATCAAGACATGTCTGAATGCAATGTTTGCATAACATCCTTTCTACTAAGATGCCTTTATAGTTTTTAAAAGGCACCATTGATTTATTTTTTGCTGCCAAAAGCCAATGCGTGTCGTTTTAGCGGATGTTTGACTTAAATTAAAAATGCCATGCTATTTTTCAGGGTACTAATGACAAACAAGCATTGTAGTTATTCAGTATCCTCTTGGTCTCTAAAGCACACTTGAATTTGTTCTTGTTCATTAGACATGACGTTGTGGTGCCTTGGAAGTTTGTCTGAAAGCAGATCACTAGGAGGTTCCCTCATACAAACATGCTGCCTGTAAAGTCAATGACTGACTGGGCAGCAAGACAGCTGCATTTGGCTTCAGACAGCCTCACACATCCTCTGATATAAATGTCAAAACTTTGCATTTCGCACAGTGTTTCAAATGAGAGAGATTTGTAAACTGAATGTAGCCATAATGAACCACACTGTATGTCTTTACAAACCTGTATGAGAGCGAGAGGAAGAGAAGATGAGAGGTGAAGAAGTACACTATGATTTCCATTAACCTACTTTCCTCTCCTCATTCTGAATTCAGCCATTGGTGCACTGGGATCACACTCTTTCTCCTCTGACATAATGCTCACAACAACATAGCATCTCCAGCCACAGCACTGCTGAGACTGTTCCAGATCTGCTCGCTCCATCCAGCTGTGTGTCACTGGCAGGGTCAGAGCTGTGGCACAGAAAGCTGACATCTGTCCTTAGTGGGGTGGATTGAGGGAGCTGGTCTGCACAACTGGAAATCCAGAAGATATATTTAGAGCATAAGGACAAGGTTGTTCATCTTGAAAATGGCTATGGCTCTGAGCAACCTTGATGCCCTCTGCAGCTCCACAGGAGAGCGTGGCCTGGCTCTGTTTACTGAACTTGCTTAAATCCACAGCCAAGGTGCTTTGATTCCTCCTCTGTCGGAGGACATTACTCACTCAGGTTGGTGGAGAGCAGCTTATCGGACACGAATGAAATTAATCTTTTTTGGTTCTGCTTTTTAAAGGACAACTTGGATTAACTCAACTGTATTTCACCTTGAAATTATTTACACTTAAAAAGGTGGTTTTGATGATACTATTTTTGTCATGTCTTTTTTTTTTAGGTGTTGGCATGTTTTGTTTGGATTTGTTTTATCTTTAGTCTTATCCAAAGATTAGTTATATCTTGTTTTGAAAGTTTCACATTTTA